CCCTGAATCAAGAATGCTGTTCCACCCGTTTTAACTTATGGTCAGCAAAGAAAAATGTTACCTCGGTAAAAGCAATTTTAACATGGTCCCTCTTACCTCCTCTTTTCACATGGGAGGTAAGAAGGTAAGAGTTACTCAGACCCACTACTTAATGGAAGCAACGGCTCAGATCTATTATATACTCTTGCCTCTCATGTGAAATGAGGATGTAAGAGGGACCATGTTAAGAAACCTTGGTATGAGATACTGGTGCATTTGGGATGCAATTTTTAGTTGTTCTTCAGTTGAGATTATTACTCTGATTCCGGCCAGTTGTGATGTTAATGACCTTATTTTTCTTTCATGTTTATATTTATATGAGTTCACGTTCCACGTTTACTCATACCACACTAAGCTAAATTTTAATCTCGTTGCTTCTGTACTAAATAAGTACTCCCTCCATTCCAAAATATAGTGCGCCCGCGCTTCCCGAGGTTCAACTTTGACCATAAATTTAACCAACGAGACCAACTGCGGCAGGAGAAAAAATTATATAATTGAAAACTTCTTTCGAAAACGAATTCACTGATATAATTTTTGCTCCCGCCGCAATCGGTCTTGGTAGTTAAATTTACGGTCAAAGTTGAAACACGTGGATAGAGGAAGCACTACATTGTGGAATGGAGGGAGTATGACTGAAAGATATCATGCGTTGTTATTTTTTGTGAAGGCATCCGTATCCAAAATCTTCAGCCAGGCCAAATCATAATGGATATAGATTTCCGTTGGGGTGGTGATCCAAGCATAATCCTTGCTGTTGATGCTCGAGTTGCATCACTGCCTATTCAGGTTTTGACTGTTTCTCTGTCTTTACTGTGGTTAACCTTGTAGGAGTGAGTTCTTATTAATTATACTTTTTTGTGAACCATCTCTCAGCTCAAGGATCTCCAGGTCTTTACCGTTGTTCGTGTCGTATTTCAACTATCAGAAGAGATTCCCTGCATCTCTGCTGTTGTCGTTGCTCTCCTCGCAGAGGCATGTATCTACTACTAAGCAGTTTTTGTATGAGAAAAATATACAAAAACTGGCAATTTCTTCAGTATATTTTTATTCGTAGCTTCACACAAGAGAACATCTGATTTTGAATTGAAGATAGGAAGAAAAAGAGTATAATGTTAACTGAGATGAGTTTTCAACTTACACACTGGACAACAAAAGCAGAGTGTCTACTCTTTTATTAACTGTGGACTGCTTCGTAATTAAGATGACATAAAATTGGAATTTCTTGGAGAAGATTTATTTGCTTCATTTCCTTGCACTTATTGGTAGTAGTTTGTTTCCCCTGCAGCAATAGTCCCAGTGCTTACCTCAGAATGGATCCAAAACATAGTTTAACCTGGGAAGGCTTTAACATTTGACCCACCCTGGTAAAAAAACATTTAACCCACAAAGAGAACCTATTTCTTGCAGTATATCATGGTAGCAGTTTAGACACTGCCAGTTTTTTTATATGGCAACTTTGGTACCACCAGTCTGATGTGTTGATCCTGGTGGCATTTCCATGAGACAATTTGGTAACGAAGATTCATGCTATGAAGCTCCTGCTATAGTTGAAAGGTTTTTAGATGTAATATTTGTGTCGACAACATTTCACAAGAAAAGTTATAAATGGCATTCCTGATGCGTGGAACCTTTTGCATTATCAAAGATGCGCATTTCCTGTATAATCGTTTATTGGGTTTCTTTGTGCTTCAGCCAGAGCCTAAAATACAGTACACATTGAAGGCTGTTGGGGGTAGTCTGACTGCTATTCCAGGACTTTCTGATATGATTGATGT